GGGCTCCTGCGGGGCGCTGCCTCTGGCCGCCCCCGGACCGGGTCCCTCGGGAGGGGGTTGCTGTCCGTTGGTCCTTTGTATGCCTTTTGTTCGGCTCACCCGGGTCCGGCGGGGAGGGGGCGGACTGAGGGCGCTGCGGGGGAGCCACTGGAGGTCTCGGCCGGTGGCCCAGCTCTCCAGGCCTTTGCTGGAATCGGGAGATTGTCCTCGTGGGCGCAGGGAGTGTCCGGCTGCCTCTCTCCCTGCTTCCCGGGCGGAGGAGCGGCCCTGCTCTCCTCCCCGCGCCCCTCCGGCACGGAGCAGCTGCCCTGGGCTGCGGGGACAGGCGGTGGCATCGCCGCCACCGGCTGTAGTTAACACAGCGCGCGGGGCGGCGGAGAACCCGGTAAAGGCCACATCCCTGTGTGCACACGCAGCCCGTCCCAGGTGGGCTCCCCAGTTGTTGTCCTGGGGACCGTGTGGTGGCTGCTGGTCCCTGTCCCCGCGGTGCCGCGCCACTCGCTCTGGGCACGGCGGTGTTTCCTACGGCTGCGTGCGGGGATCTCCCTTGGCGAGGGGGAAGCGGTGCGAGCTGCGTCGCCCCCTCCTTTACCTCCTGCCGCTGCCGGCCGGGTTAGCGCTGGGTGTCATCCTATTTGGCATCCTATTTGGCATCCCATTTGGCAGTAAGAGCTGGGAACGCAGGTTATGTTGTGGGGTTTGTTTCATGAGCGGTAGCTGAGCCTAGCTGAGTTAGGGGCTAACCACATGTTAAATAGCAGCCGGCAATGTACTGATCCCTCAGAGCATTCAGTATCTGGATGCCTCTTAATGTGGAGCAAATGAGGCACGGGAGTGTTGGAGTAGGACCAGAGAAATGCTGCTGGAGAGCTTACTTTCAAGGAGACTGAGAGGATGGCAGAGCCGGGGTAAATGGCTGTTCAACAGTCAGGTCAATAGATGTGCACTTATTTTGTGGACCTCCTGCATGCTTCTGTGGGTCGTTGCTAAGCTTAAAAGCACGTATGGGGTGAATGGGAAATGACAGCTTTTTGTCATGTTTTTATGTTGTGCTTCATTGCTGGAGCGTTTCAGATTGAGTAGATGTGGTACTGTTAAGCTTGTGTGAATGTGGAATGAATGATGGACAAGTTTTTGGGTATCACATTTCCAGTGGCGGTTGAGATGTGGGTGGGGAGAGGAAATATTTAATAAAGACCTTCAGGTCCCCGTGCTCTGACAGCATCCTGCCTTAGCTTTTAACATGTGATAAATAGTTTCATTCCTCAGAATTAGAAATTAAGCTTAACTTTTTATTTTTTTAATGTCATATTTAGTTGTCAAATACCATATCTAGTTATTCAGAAGGGGAGGGCTTTTTTTAGTCCTAGTCTGTGTTCTTCTGAAGCTGACATTTAAGATACTAGCTCTGAAATGGATAAAATATAAAATTGGTGGTCTTATGACACCAAATTATGCAAAGTTCCATGAAAGCCCAAGTTATGTTTCACTGTTTCTCTTATGGTGGCCACAAGAATTTTTGGCTCATCCCTCTGCCCTAATAAAGGCAATTTTGGGCTGAGATGCCAGACTGAACTGAAGATGAACCACGTCGTGCTTCCTGCTCTGCAGGTAAGCCCTTTGGAGCTGGTTTTGTCTGGTAGTGGGTGGGACTAACCTGAGCTAAAGTATCAGACTGATGGGTTTGGTTTATTTTTTTCTCGTTTAACTGTGGCACTGTTGAGACCTGATCTGCTCAGCATGTCCTTGGTCAGGAGTTGACTGTCAAGCGGCGTGGGGTAGCCTGCTGTTGTTTGGATGTGTATGTGCCACTCCTTGGCATGGTATGGCTTCTGCTCCGAGTGAAGGCATCAGTCAGGCTTTGACCTCCTGCCTGATGCCTTGCGAACATCATCGCTGTGGCCTGGTGACCTGACGTCAGCGCCTGTAGGGGTGGGAGGAATTAAGGGCAGCAGCTGGGAAAAGCCTGTCCTGGCTCTGCTTTTCTGTGGGACGTGGTTTCAGAGAGATTGGTAGAAGGGAGTTCACAATTGAGAAGGCAAAATCAGGGGGCTGACTGGCAGCCCTGCTGTCTTCCTGGCTGGAAACTAATTCCTTGTGGTTTACAGATGCAGAAGCTATTCCCTGGTCTTATGCCTTCTCTTCCCAGTGTGTGATGTTCAAAGCTTATAGGAACAGAAGTTTATTATTAGAGTGAATGGCTGAGGCAATATAGCATACCAAAGAGATTCAGTATTGTTTGAAACCTGGGAAAAAAAACCCAGCTGGATTATTTTATTTTGGTAACGGAACCTTTGCAGTGTCTGAGAAGTGATCACTGCTGCTGTTGAAGGTGGGGTACACATCTGGGGTATGAAACATTGTGGATACATGTGATACTACATAGTCTTCAGCATAATTCTAATACTGGAGCATTCAATCCTTAAAAAGGCCACTTCAAATCTAGGGAGAAGCATTAACTTTTTAACCCCGAAAGCGATGACAGATTGTTGGAAGAATAACAAAGACCCTGTTTCTCCTCATTTTGCCTGCTGAAAAGTTACGTTTTGTATTTTGGCTGCATTAGCACCAAATCCATAGGGATTCTTGAAGATACGAGTCTGTGTTTTGTGTAACATATGGTCCCATTAACAGTTTTACAGGGAATATTTTTTTTATTTGAAGTGTAATAGATCACATTTCCT